TTAATTGCACAGCAACATTTCAGATGAAGTAGTTTTGTCTGTATGAAAACTAATAAATATTTCTAATTACAAAATTGTGTCTTGCTCAGTGCATAGGTCATAATTGCTCATTTTAATTGGCTGACTGGCTGCAGAGATGATTACACAAACAGGGAGGACGAACTCAATGACCAGTGTCCTCTGCTCTTACACAAACAACAGTTACAATTGTTACAACCACTGACATACTCATTTGTGCATGGACAGATTCAATTATAAATTTGGACAGCAAGGATACATTGAAAAGTGACAGTAAAGACATTTTATAAATGTAAAAAATGTATCACGGTTTTGACAAAAATATTAAGCAGCACAACCGTATTCAACAGATAATAATAATACATATTTAGTGAGCAGCAAATCAGTATATGAGAATAATGTATATGAGACATTGAAGACTGGAGGAATGTCTTCTGAAAATTATTTTAATAACGAAATAATGAAAATAAACATGAAAATGTTTTTGAATCATCTTCATTTTGGGGCTTTCTCATCAAATACTGATATATGCAATTATTTAAAAAAACACTTTTTGAAATCAATAATTCGTTTGTGTTTATCAGTTCACAATGCTACACTAACAGTTCAGAGGAGAGCACACTATCTCTCTTTCACAGCCTTCAAGCTGTCTGAAACAAATTGCCTTGAAACACCAGAGTCTCCTAGCCAGGGAATGTCTCTCACAAGCATGGTCAACTACATGGCTGACAGCTGGAGATGTTTCCCATGAGGTAATGAGCCAGCAAGTCAGAATGAAAGGAGATGGATAGGAACAGACAGACCAATGAGAGTAAACAAGAGAGAGATGGGAATAATAGATGGATGGTGCAATAGAATAGAAGTTTTCTTTCTTGGAACTATTTGTAAGAAATCTCTGATGGATCTAAGTAGGGCTACTCCTGACACAGCATTGGGTTTCCATGTCTGTGCCAGTCAATATAGTGCAGGCTTAGTCTGGGTCTGTAACACTGTACTGTCACTATGTTAAACTAATTGGAAGTCATCCACAACACCAGAGTTCAATACAATGGAATCAATAACCAGTTTCTACTGATAATCAGTAATGGTGTTTTTAAATGGTACTGGATACATATACTTTTGAAACATTTTTAAAGTTATTTTAAATCACATTACATAAACCAGCACAAAAAAACATAGCATGTTAAACATTATTACTGAGTGCACCTTTAAAGAATGTCTTAGAGAATGCTCATATAAGTTAAACTCTATTACGATTATAATAACTTCATAGGAACAAGTGGAAATCATCTACCTAGCAGGAGATCAAAGAAGTTGATTCTATTTGTTTTCTTTCAGAAAATATACAGAGATTTGCATTTTGTGATGCACATGAGAAGAAGAACAAGCTTGGGACCATCCTGCCAAGTTCGGGGAGTCTCTGATGCCCAGGCAAAAAAAAAAAAGGCAGAAAAAAATAGAAGAAAAGCTGTGGCTCTGTTTTTTTCAAACTGACTGAAGCATCTGACTAAAGGCTGGAAGACACCACATGACTTTTAAAAAATGAAAAATAAAAAAATAAATGTAAAACACTATAGGCATCAAACACTTGCTGACTTTTATAAATAGTTACAGAGGTGCAGTATACACTAAACAGCTGAGGATCATTCACACACTACCAGACTTTCAAACTGTTCTGAACACAAACTCATTCAGAAACACATGCCTTGTTGCTGGGAGATGCGTGACAAATGAAAACAATTAAAAATATACAAAATTGTTTGATATCCCCTGACTGGATAGAAATAAACTCTGAAGCTAAAAAAAAAAAAAATCAGAAGTCTGTGATCATTATATGCTACGCTATTTTCTATTAAATCTGTCAGCTAAAATCTGCAGACTGGATCTTACTTTTGGGCAAATAGCCTCAACTTGTCCAGACTATAAATTGGGGCAAAAATCCAGCCTTATGGGTTTGGTTACTTTGCAGATACAACAGTTGTGACAATTTTTACTCAGCCTTTGCGATTTGTACTCAGCCATTGTGAATTCTACACAGCGACTGTGAGATCTTCACAATGACAGGTTTGCTTTGTACAAAGAGCTTTATGACAAGGATCATCTTTGAAGGACAGTCAAAACTACCACATCTTATGGTTCAGATGAGGGCCCTTTATTTGTGGGTAAACATATGACTGAGCAAGTATTACTTGCCACTTTCCTCCCATCTGGACCAATCGGTTTTGTGCAAGTGTGCAGAGACAGAAGAACCAGCCTCTCTTGTGGGTTTGGTTTTGTTACTTTTGCCCACCACCACAATGCAGAAAACACCCTAAATCCTCTGATGGCTTTTAAACTCATGGGCAAGCCGATGCAAGAACAACTGGAGTTTGAGTTATGGGTTTGTGTCTAATTCCTCACTTGATGATTCCATTATAGCCACATCAGAATGGCTATATTGTCAGCAACCAGCCACTGAAGGTCGCTTTCTCCAAGAGTAAGGAGAAAAAAAGAAACCCAGCAAGGGAAACTAATGTGCAACAATTTAAAATTATTCACTTGTCTTTCTAATATCCCTTATTAGCACAACTTCCTACTGATCGAATACTTAGCTTTTTATAAGGCTTACATTTTCAACAGCTCTGGGTCTGTTCTTAAGTGTAAATACATAAAAGTGAAGCTGCTGAGTCAGCAGCTTCAGAGTGAGAGGATCCAGCATGATTTACTGCAGGTAAGTTTGCACAGATGCTGTGAGCTGCTCAGAAACACCCTACCGGAAACATCTAAGCTACTGCATATAAGAGAGAGGAACAGAAAGACAGTGGGGTATTCAGATGTGGCAATAAGCTCCATTTGAAATCATTATCAAGTTCCTGTCAATATTTTACAAGTTTTACTCTTTAATGTAAATCCACAAGTCATTTGATGATCAGTTCTTAATGAGGACAGCATTTGGTGTAAGCATTGCTTAGTGCATGTTAACTTTTCTTAATTAAAAAGGTTTTCCACTCAAGGGAGGGAATAGTACTTAGCTGTGAAATTACAGTAAATAATCTTTTTTATAGTAATTGCAATAGATTATTAACAGTAATCTACGTGTTTACAGTAATCTTACAACATAATTAATTCTATGGAGCAAAACAAGCAAGTCTTTACATGTTCATGTTCACACTGAATTGAGCTTTGCAAGGTTAATAAGTAAATTTATCACATCATATAATATACTTTGGAAAATGTGTATTTTAATGTTTATTTAGGTTCAATGCTTTGCCCCATTGACTTCCATTGTAAATGCATTATTGTAAATGTGATTTTTGCTTATTTTTCTGAATGTAGCGACGAGTTGAGAACCCAGAAAATTCCTTTAAAGACATAAAAATAAAAGCAAGTGATGTGATGCAACAAAGCTAATCCCCTTATAATCAACAAATCTGTCTACACTGACACTAGAGTTATAGATAATTAATTTAACACGAGGGCTACAGGAGTGAAGTAAATGATCTCTGTTTACATGTCTAAAAGCAGCTATTAAACACCTGCGGTATCAGTTGAGTTTAGTGAGCTGGAAGGCCGTCAGTGATGGCAGACAGTGAAGTGAACAGTCTGTGCTGTGATTGGGGTTGCAGATACCCAGCTGAGATCACCAGCTGCTCTCATGTTCATGTGCTGCAGCATACACACCGCTCTCTCCTCTTCTCCCTTTCAACCCTATTTCTCTCTATCAGCCTACTTTTCAGTTTCAGATCCCATCAGCATCAGAGTGAGAGAAGCAGAGGGAAAACTGAAAGATGTGATGGGTAATGGGGCTTTTTCCTCCTCATCTTTGAAACTGGGTTTTAAGGGGAATATCATCACTCTTGTTGTCGCCCTGTACTGGGGAAATGAATAGAAAGTCTACTGGAGACTTTCTGGGGATTACCTGGATACAGGAAAACAAATGAGATCTTTTTAATATCTCAAGTGATTCCAGACAATAATGATATCAAAATGAGAGCAACCTGAGATTTTTCTCAAAGACAAAAAGGCTCACATATGTCTCCACAGAGTCTTTTTTTCCACAGAGTCCTTTATAAATATTCACAATTTATCCTATTCAAAATTAGTCCACAATTTGGTAAAACCGCCTCTTTATAATGATCTATTAACAACTTATCCTATTCAAAATTAGTCAATGAAGTCATGCCATTTTACTATAAACAATATTTTAACATATTATACTATATTAACAAATTATAAATTTTTTTTAATCATCATTCTGCCCTCCTCCCGGTTAATCCATCTCTGTTGTTCTTAGCTTGTACATGCATTCTGGCTCTCGCATCCATCGTGACTCCTTTTGTTCCCTGCTCTGTATCTTTTCAGTCCTTCCATTCTCCCACCTGTCCCAGGCCTGTCTGTATCCCAGAGTGTGACGAGTGTGTGTATAATGAAGGCCCATTAGGAGAAACAACGGCAGCAGTTCCGTGCCGCATATGTTCAGTGGTCAAATGCTGATGACAGCTGGGCCAGCACACACACACACACAGACACACACACGCACGCCCTAGAGACTGCCCTGGGTGTCCCACAGTCTGCCAGATGAAACGATGCAGACCGCTTCAACAGGAGGCTCAACCTGAGGATATAAACCGGGTGTGTGCGTGGGGGGGCATCCATGAAGCTGACAATGGCACCATGACATTTTTGTCAGCCTGAATTCACTGTTTGTGGATATTGAACTAAAGGTAAATCATTAGTATATAGTATAGACTATAAATCTTAATATCAGAGCCAGTTATCCTGATCAATCTGTATCCAAGAATCTTGATGGATATTAAGTCATAAGCATCTGCTTTCTTTTGCAATCATAGAAATCTGTTACTGCCATATGCTTCATATTAATGAAGGAGATAGAAAAGTGGCCAAGTTTAATGGTATAAAATAAGATAAATATGTGCATATGAATCTTATGTATTACTGTATTACTTATGTATATGAAATTTTGTAGAAGTAAAGACAGATTATGCTTTCTTTGTGTATTGATAGGGCTACAGCTTTTTTTAATCCACCTGAAATAGTAGTCAATGGACGAATTAGGCATTTAAAATATGTAAATTCAGTTTATGTATAATAATATTATATATAAGATTTTGTTTTGAAAGAAGTCTCGTGCTCACCAAGGCTGCATTTATTTGATCAAAAATACAGTACAAATAATAATAATATTGGAAAATATTATTACAATTTTAAATAACTGTTTTCTATTTTAATGTATTTTAAAAATGTAATTTACTCTTGTGAATTTTCAGCATCATTATTCCAGTCTTCAGTGTCATCATTCTAATATGCTGATTTGCTGCTCAAAAAACCTCTCTTATTATTATCAATGTTGAAAACAGTTGTGCTGCTTAATATTTTTGTGGAAATCATTATGCATTTTTTGTAAATGTCTTTACTGTCACTTCTGATCAAATTAATGCATCCTTGCTTAAAAAAAGTATTAATTTTACCAAAAAAAAAAAAAATCACTATATCACAGTAAATATCACTTACTGAGCCAAACGTTATATATATATATATATATATATATATATATAACGATATATAATATATAAATTTATACTACACTTATTTTCCACATGAACTACCAAACTGAATGTGTTTTTAATCGCTTATGAGTTATGACTATCAATGAAGTAACATAAGAGGCTTTATTTTTTTATTTGACCACCAACAACAAAGAAACAACCTCAGGTCAAACCAGACTGCATGTAGAACTGTGTATTTTCACCTGCCTCTCGCTGCGGTGCATCCCAGTCCACACAAACACAAGACCTGATGCCCTTCAGCCATACAGACACAAAGACAAGGATGCAGTAGAGCTTTCAGCCGTACCACAAAACCTCCTGGAGAATATTGAACTATAATCTGACCCAGGGCTTGTTGCATCCCTGAAGTACCACAGAACAAACATCAATAGTGCCTAAAGATGAAAGGACTAGGAGACACGGATGGAAGTAGAAATCAAGTGGTAATAATAAAAAAAAAGGAGAAAATGAAATCTGTTGAAGAGGGCGAAAGTGTAAGTGTGTGTAAAAGAGTGTTATTATACTTTTGAAATGGACTGAACTGAAAATAGGGCAGAATTACACACAGCCTGGTGTTATGAAAATCAATAACATCAACAAGGGGTTCATGAAGAGAGTAAGACGAGTTCACCAGCTGCAGACAAATGTTGTATATTAAATATACTCCAGCTGAATATGGGGAAAGAAACATTAGCTCAATGCCACTCAGTCTTCTTGTTGCCAAATGTATGGATTCACCTGTTACCTCAACTCTTAAAATGATTATCAAACCATACGTCGTTATATAAATTTATCACTTCATCATCTCTTGTTTAAAATGCATGTGTGAGGACAGTGAAAATGGTCACATTAATCCACTCCCTACCATCATACACACACAAATAAAAATGAGTGGACCGCCCTCTGATCCGCACAATCCCCAGACAGCAAACTGAGCAGTCTGGCATGAATTATTCAATCACTTTCACACGGCTTGAATAACAGATGGTCAGTGGGCTTTTCACCCAGCAAAAGACTATCAAACATGAACCTATGGGTTAATTAACTGAACATGTGTGTAGTTCGTGCAGAAAAGGGTTTTATGTAATGGAAATTGACAATAAACCTGCTTTGGATCCTTAGTAGAAAGAGAGGACCTTCTCTTTGTCTTCCTGAAGTGAACAGTTGGGAATCACCGCCATCTTGTGGGGGTTTGTTTACTTTATTATGTGTGGTTGAAACATGGACAAAAAAGATAGAAAAGTAACGTACGTGTATATACATATATAATAGTATGTGCATATTAAAGAGCAAATCCTTATTTACTCACCCACGTTGTTTCAACCCTGTATGACATTCTTTCTTCTGTGGAACACAAATGTTTGAAGATATTCACAGGTGTTTTCCATAAAACATTTGTTTGTGGTCACAGCTGTTAATCTTCAAAAAAAAATGACAAAGAAACATCATAGATGTACCAAAAAGTTGCCCAGACGACTTGACGCGGTATTGCGATAGTTTTGTGTGAGGAACAGAAAGAAATGTAAGTTATTATTCACTGATAATCTTTAATTTCCGTGAGTTGTTAATTCGAACACTGCTTTCATTCTGATTCAGTGAGTCGAATTTTGTGAACGAATCATTCAGTTCGAATTTATAATCTGAATCACCCTGTTAATAAAAAGACTCAAAAGAATGATTCATTAATTGATTCAGTTCAACTAGTTCAACATGCATAGAAGTTGAAGTTAAAGTCTTAAAGGTACAACAGCAAAAACAGAGCTAAGAGAAAGGCTTGTTTTCGTGCACGAAACGTTAAATAATATAACTGTAAATAATATAACAGTAAAAAATAAAAAAAAACTGGTTCTCAATTGTGGAGGATTTTGGAAGAATGCTATTTTAGGTTGGTAAACAAATTGGTTGAAAAGGTCAGAAACCTGGAACGTGCACTACCCTTTAAAAGTTTTCGGTCAGTAAGATCTTCTACTGTTTTTTAAAGTCTCGTAAACTCACCATGGCTGCATTTATTTGCCCCCAAATGCAGTAAAAAACAGTCATATTTTAAAATATTATTCCAATATAAAATTTCGGTTTTAATATATTTTAAAATGTAATTTATTCTTGTGATGCCAAAGCTGAATTTTCAGCATCATTACTCCAGTCTTAAGTGTCACATGATCCTTCAGAAATCATTCTAATATGCTGATTTGCTGCCCAAGAAACATTGTTGAAAACAGATGTGCTGCTTAGTATTTTTTTGTGGAAACAGTGATGCATCCCCCCCCCCAAATCAAAAGAACAGCCTTTACTTGACTGTCACTTTTGGTTATTTTATTTCATCTTAGCTAAATAAAAGAGACCTGATGCCCTTCAGCCATACAGACACAAAGACAAGGATGCAGTAGAGCTTTCAGCCGTACCACAAAACCTCCTGGAGAATATTGAACTATAATCTGACCCAGGGCTTGTTGCATCCCTGAAGTACCACAGAACAAACATCAATAGTGCCTAAAGATGAAAGGACTAGGAGACACGGATGGAAGTAGAAATAAAGTGGTAATAATAAAAAAAGGAGAAAATGAAATCTGTTGAAGAGGGCGAAAGTGTAAGTGTGTGTAAAAGAGTGTTATTATACTTTTGAAATGGACTGAACTGAAAATAGGGCAGAATTACACACAGCCTGGTGTTATGAAAATCAATAACATCAACAAGGGGTTCATGAAGAGAGTAAGACGAGTTCACCAGCTGCAGACAAATGTTGTATATTAAATATACTCCAGCTGAATATGGGGAAAGAAACATTAGCTCAATGCCACTCAGTCTTCTTGTTGCCAAATGTATGGATTCACCTGTTACCTCAACTCTTAAAATGATTATCAAACCATACGTCGTTATATAAATTTATCACTTCATCATCTCTTGTTTAAAATGCATGTGTGAGGACAGTGAAAATGGTCACATTAATCCACTCCCTACCATCATACACACACAAATAAAAATGAGTGGACCGCCCTCTGATCCGCACAATCCCCAGACAGCAAACTGAGCAGTCTGGCATGAATTATTCAATCACTTTCACACGGCTTGAATAACAGATGGTCAGTGGGCTTTTCACCCAGCAAAAGACTATCAAACATGAACCTATGGGTTAATTAACTGAACATGTGTGTAGTTCGTGCAGAAAAGGGTTTTATGTAATGGAAATTGACAATAAACCTGCTTTGGATCCTTAGTAGAAAGAGAGGACCTTCTCTTTGTCTTCCTGAAGTGAACAGTTGGGAATCACCGCCATCTTGTGGAGGTTTGTTGACTTTATTATGTGTGGTTGAAACATGGACAAAAAAGATAGAAAAGTAACGTCCGTGTATATACATATATAATAGTATGTGCATATTAAAGAGCAAATCCTTATGTACTCACCCACGTTGTTTCAACCCTGTATGACATTCTTTCTTCTGTGGAACACAAATGTTTGAAGATATTCACAGGTGTTTTCCATAAAACATTTGTTTGTGGTCACAGCTGTTAATCTTCAAAAAAAAATGACAAAGAAACATCATAGATGTACCAAAAAGTTGCCCAGACGACTTGACGCGGTATTGCGATAGTTTTGTGTGAGGAACAGAAAGAAATGTAAGTTATTATTCACTGATAATCTTTAATTTCCGTGAGTTGTTAATTCGAACACTGCTTTCCTTCTGATTCAGTGAGTCGAATTTTGTGAACGAATCATTCAGTTCGAATTTATAATTTGAATCACCCTGTTAGTATTTTTTTGTGGAAACAGTGATGCATCCCCCCCCCCAAATCAAAAGAACAGCCTTTACTTGACTGTCACTTTTGGTTATTTTATTTCATCTTAGCTAAATAAAAGTATCAATTTCTTTCAATAGCAGCAGATAATGATTATTTATTAAGTCATTATGACTTAACCTATTAAGAAGCAACTCCTCCAGAAAATACATGAAAACGTAGAAGGAATGGGCACATGCAGAAACCATAAACATGACAAAACCATTTTAAAATTTCAGCACTTTAATTCACCCAGTTCGGTTTGAGACATTGCTCTGATCAAATGATTACAAGAAAATGAATGAAAAGGAACGTAAGGGTAAAAAACACAATCTAAACTTCAAAGGTTAAGTCGCTCATCATATAGGGCTAGTGAATGTTTACAGGGTTGAGAAAAGCATTGACAGCTAATACTCGTCCACAATAAGGGCTATGAAATATCCAAAACTCGACCAACAAAACAGTTAATGCCAAGATGGAAGAAATCACTTTGACAATAGTAACAAATACAGTCCAGAGATGCAGTACTGGTGCATGAGAGCACCATACACTCATGAAACGGCTGGAATTTGATCACTTTTCTCCTGAAAAAGCTTCTTGAGAGGATACCTTCACAATATAAAATACAGATTTTAACACATTTAAATATGACTTGATAAATGGAAAGCCTACTGAACGGGTCTAAGTGTCATCTTAGATTCAGAGGACTATGACCATCATGGTCAGAAATGTCATTCACTTCTGTTGAGTGCGTTTTCAAATTAACGTACAGCCTTTATGCAGTCAATCATAGCTCTTTCATAACTTTCCTGGAGAAATATAAAAGCAGTTCACACAAACTTTTATCACAAACTTGCAAACTGTTCCAGGGATAAAATATACATGGTAAAGACACCTGCATGATACCATGTTATTCTGGTAAATATTAATGCATGCTTTGGCCTGTATAGAAAGTTCTATACAATGTGTAGCTTTAAATGTTAAAAATGAAACCTTCGACCAAAGCAGAATGATTTTAAACAGTGCTATTACATAGTACACAACAAAATCATGACATAACATATTATTTTCCCGTTTTAGTAGTGAAATTTTTTTTTGAGGTTATGTTGGCACAATTAAAGCAGGGCAGTGTAGTCATATAAAGATTAATGAAAGTACTGAACATGGAGAAAAGAGGAGGAAATTATAAACATAATAAAAATAAACTTTTGGGGGTAAAAATGATTTCTAACATACAAGTGGGTCCTGGAAAAAATGCAGTTAAAACTCTATGCTAAACCCAAACCTTGGGTTTCCTAGAGATTTCTTAAAGTCGGCGAATTGCAGTAGGAATTATACATCTCTAAGCTTTTTTTTTTCTGTCTGCCCACTAGCGTTATCCTAAACTCCATTATAGCTCAGACTCATCCTCTTCCCTCCAGAACTGAAGCTGGTGTTGGGGCCAGAAAGTGGCGTTGTGAGGGATGCCCCTGGTGGTCACACAGCAGTACAGCAGCGTTCTCATTTTGTCTCTCATAGTTGAGGTATACCTATGATGAAAATTACAGGCCTCTCTCATCTTTTTAAGTGGGAGAACTTGCACAATTGGTGGCTGACTAAATACTTTTTTGCCCCACTGTATATATAGATATATATTACTCATCAATGATTTGTAAATTATTATTTAATTAGTAGACACAAGCTCAAAACACTTAAAGGGATAGTTTATAAAATAGGAATATTCAAATTAAAATAAATGCAGTAGAGACAAAGCAAAACAAAAAAGCAAAGCAAAACAAAAGCAATCTCATGAATTCAGAAGTGCAGTTTTGTTATTATGATACTTCTGTTGGGCTTTTTTATCCTTATTAAAGTGTGACAGTTTAAAATCACTTTTGCTGTATTGAAAAGAGCAATTCAAATGCACTAGACTTTGCGCATGCAAAATGTCTACGACCAATGCAAAGGTCGTAATATGACACCATGCTTTCCGGCGTCTTTTTAAGAAACATAATTCCCACATATAGTACATCCAAAAATGTAAAAATACGTCATTTACATCACTTTTCTGTAAAGTTTGTGTTCTTTTAATTCAGCTAAGAAACCACACCGATCTTCTACTGGTCTTCACGCGATACGAATTTGCAGGGCAGCGTTCACCAAACTTGAACTTTGGAACGCAAAAAAAGCTTGCATTGCCTGTGTCCCACATTCATATGCGTATGAATGGAATTCAGTGGAACGAAAAGTGACCAACCTTTTACGCGAGTGACTGAATGACGACAGAATCGTAATTCTTGAATGAACTATTTACACGTACCCTGCTTTTTAAGCTCCGCCTCCAGCTTTTGGTTGTAGTTGATTCCATCATTGAGGGTGACAAAACAGTAGAGACTCTCGCCTTTAACAGGGTGTGACCTCCCCACAACCGCTGCCTCAGCCACAGCTTCATGCTCCACCAGCGCCGACTCCACAATTTCAAACAGATGCTGTTATTTTCCGTTTCCACATAAATATCAAGCAGCACAGCTGTTTTTAATACCGATAATAAGAAATGTTTTTGAGCACCAACTCAGCATATTAGAAGGATTTCTTAGTGAAACGAGTCTCTTGGTGAGCAAAAGAGACTTCTTTCAAATACAAAAACATCTTACCAACCCCAAACTTTTTTATTCATTTATTCATTCATATCACAGTTCACTCACAGCAGAGCCAGGCTTCATGGGAGTAGCGGCCGGCAGAGGGGTCATCACATGCCCACCCTGAGGAAGACAAAAACAAAAGACAAGTGACCATACAGTAGACAGTTCCAAAGCAACATGGATGTTACTGCTCTGGACTTAATGGTTAGAATCCAGTTCATACCGTCTCAGTCTGCCAGAAGGTGTCCACCACTGGACATCTCTTCTCTCCCACCACACTGTAGTACCACTGCCAGGCTTCTGGGTTTATGGGCTCCCCTACGGTCCCCAAAATCTTCAGGGAGGTCCGCTTATACCTGACGACAACAAACACGCAAACTATTCTGAATACCAGTAAAAAGTTAGGACACACCTGAATGTACAAGAAAATGATCTAGGCACACCGCTCAGTTTACAGACTTTGTAAGCAAACAGAGTGCAAGACAGAATACAGAGCAATTACATAACACAAAGAGATGAGTACTATCAAGTGTTATCATCAGTAGTTATCATCAAGTGTTCTCCGGCAATGGGAGAAAGTGTCCTAGATGGATAACACATTAACTAGCAATGGCAATAAAAAAAATACACATTCATAATACTGCCAATACTTATTCCTAAACATCATAATTTATACTGTAAACACTATACTACTCTATATACTATATATACACACAGCGTGTCAGTAAAAAATATTTCATATTATTTAAACCAAGAGAACATTCCTCAAGCACGTTTTAAAGAGCTTTTTCAGACTGTCAGCCATCCAGTCAGTGTTTTCACACGTTGACAAATAAATTCTTACACTTTTCTAGTTATTCTTGACTATTCTATAAGGATTTCACACACACACAAAAAAAAAGAATAGTAAGAAAAAATAATAATAATTGTACGTTCTAAAATATTTTGATAGCTCAGTATAACTTTTATGTTGTCTTATAGTCACCAAGGCTGCATTTATTTAATTAAAATACAGTAAAAAACAGCAATATTGTGAAATCTTATTACAATTTAAAATAAAACAGATTTTATTCCTGCGATGCAAAGCTGAATTTTCAGCATCATTACTTCAGACTTTAGTGTCACATGATCTTTCAGAAATTATTCTAATATGATGATATGGTGCTCAAGAAACATTTTTTATTATAATCAACATGAAAACAGTGCTGCTTAATATTTTTGTGGAAACTATGATGCTTTTTTAGGATCCTTTGATGAATAGAAAGTATTTACAAGAACAGTATTTATTTGAAATATAAATATTTCATCTAATTTAATGCATCCTTGCTCAATAAAAGTATTACATTTTTGAATAAATAATTAAATGTACCAAGCATAAACTTTTGAACAGTAATGCACGTTTCCAATTTGAAGTTTTTTTTATTTCCATGACTTCCAAGCTCGGAAATCACAACTGATCACGTCTGATTTTAGCAAATTCTCCATGACTGTGGAAAGCCTCTCTCTAGTCTACTAAATCTAGGAAAGACACAATAGACAACAAACTTACTTCTGAACGGGCTCACTGCCGTACTTCATCAGGAGCCGGATGGCGGTGGGTGCTGTGTAGAACTTGGAGACGTGATATTTATCAACAATCTCCCACATTCGGCTCACATCCGGGTATGTGGGAAGACCCTCAAACTAGAAGCAGAAGATTAAAAATTCATATTATACAACAATAAATGCTTATGTTGATGAGTCATTATGTTATTAACGTAAAGAAAGTGACAGCACAGGGCATAATGCAAAACCGGACACAAAAAGTGCTTATCAGGTGTTCCCCTCACCAACACACTGGTCGCGCCATTGGCCAAGGGCCCATATGTGATGTATGAGTGGCCGGTGATCCAACCAATGTCTGCAGTGCACCAGTACACATCATCAGAGTGATAATCAAACACCATCTTAAAGGTGGCCGCAGTGTAAAGCATGTAGCCACTCACTGTATGCAATACACCCTAGTGGAGTGGTAGAAAAATAGGAACAAATATATATGATATGTATATGAAAAGCAAATATCACACAGTTGAAGGAGGATTGGGTTGTTTGGAGGATCTACCTTAGGTTTCCCAGTAGAGCCGCTGGTGTAAAGGATGAAGAGCGGGTCTTCTGAATCACACCAGACAGGCTCACACTCCTCTGATGCTCCACCAATCAGAGAGTGCCAACACAAATCAACCTCAGGATTCCACGGCACCTGCACCAATCACAGTACAGGGAGCGCTCATAGTTAACTCGTCCCGTATAACTTGTGTTTACTCTTGCTGGTGTCACACTCCAGAGAACGGTACAACATGATGTTATCAAATCAGTCTGAGAAGGTCATTAACTGTAAACGATGCTGGGTTGAACAGAACAAATGCTGCTTTCAAGTCAAGAGAAGTCCCTACTTCGTTCCAAAATTGTAGTTATAACATCATGTCTGTTCAAGTGAATTTGGTTGTTTTGTAGAACTAGTGCAACAAAATGAACTGATGCTTTATTTATGTACTTTATCATTCTCGTAGCCAGTCATCTCATAAACTTTTTTTTTTTAAATCATGTTTCAATCACAACTCTATAAAAAGTAATTCCAGTTACTTCCTCATTTACAGGAACCATTTACACAGAGCAAACTCTACCAAGAGGAATTACGTTGGTGATGCATAACCAGATCGGTTTTTAATATTATTTATGTAGCATATAATTATGCAGTATTTTTTATTTTTTTATTCTGAATTAGATTTTTTTTATATTTTCAGTTTTCATTTTAATTTTAGTTTAAGCTTTAGTAACATTGTTATGCGCTTCCATTTAACTATTTTTACTCTACTTTCTATTTAGGTATTTTCAGCTTTCATGTTCATTTCAGTTTTAGTCATTTTAGTACTATAACTTGTAATTATTGCCAGGACAACATTTCTCATTTTCGTTTATGTTTTTCCATGTAATATTTATCACAGCTTTATTTCAATTAACAAAAACTATTTTTAATAGATTTAGTTTTAGTTAAAAGTAACAACACTGAACCAGATCCACCAAGAAAAATAGTCCAGTTGCAAAGAACAATTCAGACAATTCCACAGCTAAATAAACTATTTTTACTTGTAAAATGCATTGGTGTGCTTTTCAAGCGCCTTAAAACAAGCTTCACATTTCTGCTTTTAAACCCTCCAGTCTATAGACTTCCATAAGTATTGTTGATTATAATGGGTTTTCAATTCGTCATTGAAGTGGAAAACAATCATTCATCTTATAAACACACTCATTCCAGAATGACTTGAAATCAGCAAAAAGATGAAACGTGAAGAGTGTTGTATGCAAATAATGCATATAACACGTTATTTAGAAGCTCATGGTGGTATTTATTCCAGTCAGATTTATTTGATTCATTCAGTTCAATCTAACCAAAGTGAATGGAGCGCAGAAGCCCGTCTGCTTTAGTCAAAGGTGTTCTCAAAACTGAAAGAGAAAGCATCTGAAAAGATCAGGTTGAGTTAGCAAAACACAAAAACACTAATGAACAAACAAAGAGAGACATGAACGTAACAGACAACTCTACAAATCTAGTTTTTCATGCAGTTCAGAGGGAATACGATGTGAGCACTTGAGTTAATTTAAGTAGCATGAGCATTTGCATGGAGCTCATAGGAGAGAGTTAGTGTTGGACTACACAGAGAGAACCATCTGAGTGAAATACAACTGCTAACACAAGAGAGAGCTATTAGAGTCTAGTCACGATAACGTTATAAGAGCTTTCCAGACATCTGTGATGAAATCGTGCACTAGTGGACCAATAAAGTTTATGTGAGGAGATCATTTAGAATATGGACACAAGGACACACCAGTCATTTACCAGCGATGTGACTATAATTAAGTACTTTTACTAGGCACAGTAAAAGGTTTTCAGTGCCAGCTCATGGATCAGAATTGGCGATCACTTCATAATCATTATTCACAAACATTAGAATACTGAACAGCAGTTTATATCTCAATTTTTGAATGTAATAAAGCATTATTTAACACTTTATATGAATTAAGATGCATTAAGACTTTAATGGCTCTGAAGACATCAAGTTTTTAATAAGCAAGAATATGGCTTTAATTTATGGCCTCATAACTTACTGATGAACGCCAAGTCTGATGCGTGCATAAATGGTGTAAATTGCATTTGCAAAAGCAAACACACAGAGACGGACACACACACACTGCATTCTGAGAGAATGTGAGAATAGTGATAAAGGTCTTGAGCCATCCAAAGAGCGAGAGAGCCGCCCATGAGCACACAAACCCGTGTTAATAAGACAGGAGGAGTTTAAACAAAACAAGTTATGCACAAAGGAGACATGAAATACCTGTGGGGACGGACGGACCTTCCTTACTCTTTCTTTCTGTTTCTCCTGCTAAAGGGGGTTAATGGAGAGATTACTTACACCGAAAGAGGAAAAGGACACACAGACATGGACCCACATTGAAGGAGGAAATGAAATGCAAAAGATATTTTATATAAAAGTCCAACTGATATTATTAGAATAACAGGTCATCTTGCATTGATGAATGTACACATATTACATTCAACTGTTGCAAAGGTCTTCAGCACAACAGCTCAGAAATCATGCCAGGCCTTTATGGATTTACAACAGTGACAAAACCTTTGTTAAACATCCGTGAGATATCTGTAACACTCAGGACAATGCAAGACTCAAAACTCCACAGGAGATGTACAGGACAAGAGTTAACATTTGAGAAACCGTAACAAAGGGATAATGCAGTACTTTTTCATCTGAATCGATTCCCCATTGGCTCTCCATTGATTCAGGTGTTATAATACATTAAGGCTTACTTGTTTTGTTTTTGTTTGATGCACAAACTGTGTGGGCTTCTTTTTAACCTATATTATAAACTCAACTCAAATCAAACCTCAGGATAGTGTCAAAGCCATAGCCTCGTGTGCTCATGAGGGGAAACCTGAAAATGTATATTAAGCAGCACAACTGTTTTCAACATTGATAATAATCAGAAATGTTTCTTGAGCAGCAAATCAGCATATTAGAATGATTTCTGAAGGATCATGTGACACTGAAGACTGGAGTAATGATGCTGAAAATTTAGCTTTGCCATCATAAGAATAAATTACATTTTAACATATTAAAATATAAATCAGTTCTTTTAAATTGTAATAATTTATCACAATATTACTGATTTTTACTGTATGTTTGATCAAATAAAGCCTTGGTTAGCTTAAAGACTTCTTACAAAAACACCTGCAGCAATGTGGAGATGTCCAAATGAACAAGAAACTAATCAAGATGAAAAAACAAAGTGTGAAGCCTGTTAGCTGGTGCAGAGGTTAAGTTCACCTGCAGATCGGGGCAGGTGCGTTTCGCAGGGGGCGACAGCGATCCAGACGAAGCCTCATCTTCTTTTGTGAGGTGTTTTAGCATTATACACTTCTCCACTGTGAAAGACCTGACAGTGTAAAAGACACGAAAGAAATAAGTGAACTGAAGAGACACTCTCCTGAGCATGTACACAACTACAGTAGCCACTTTCTTAGGTCTCCAGTATTTCTTGAGCAGCAAATTATTAGAATTTATATTTTTAGAATGATTTCTAAAGGATCATGTGACACTTAAGACTGGAGTAGCGTAACGATGCTGAAAATTCAGCTTTGCTTCACAGGAATAAATGACATTTTAAAAATGAAAAACAGTTATTCTAAATTGTAATATTTCCTGATTTGTTGAAATTGAAAATGATCCAACTGTGTGACTAAATGCTGCTTCAAGACAGCAAATGCAGGGATTTTCCAAATACTGTCCAGTCCAGTATTTAAAGAATCATTCAGGGACCAAAATTGTTGAGTGGAACTGAATTAGTGAACCAAACAAGCATAATTTTTCCAATCTTCTATCATCGTCCTTTACTGCTGCTATTCCACGTTTGACAAACTGAACCTAATAACTGTGAGTACATGCACATATGATAAGCACTGCACAACAACTAATTTTTACTAGTTTTACTAGTGTTTATCATACTTGTCCCTGCATTTCTGTAGCGCCTCATCAGCTATTAGCTTCAGACCGATCAGCTTATCACCGCGGTAAAAACCATCTGGGGAAGGAAAGGGAGAGAAACACACAATAAAACAACTTCTATTAACTTTTCATTTACCTAAAATCTAATATTCACAGATAATCCCAAAAAGACAAAGACAGTAAACTTTTATTAGGTGATAACAACAGATCACCTTTTATTAGGTGATAATAACAGATTATTTATGGCTGAAATGTGTATTTTATGGTTATAGTCCACTCGCAATCCTCTAATAAGCTCATGAACTCTGCATCAAGCTCAGTGCAATGTCAAAGACTTTAGCTCTACCTACAAGTCTAATATCAGACTAATCATTTCAGTGGAATGTCTCTTTTTCAATTACAATCAGACAACGTAAATATCCTGATATTTGGCAGCAAGACAGAGCAATATATGAACCATGTGAAGAACCCGTTTCTCAGAAAGTCCTGAACAGAAGTTAGTTTTTCTTTAGTTTTAGTTTCTCTTCCAGCCTTTAAAAACAACTTAATGATAGATTATGGGGTCAAATTTATCCCAAAATCTCATTCTCCTTTCTAAACTTGCCAAACTCTCAGCATTTAGTTTCCTGTCACTACTCAAAGATCGCAGCCGCAGGCTAAACAGCTTTTGATGGTAATACGATTAACACCAGACTTGTGAACAATGTGAAAAGCTGCGCTCTTTTGCAGTAGATGGAAATGCAGCTGATTAACTTTGGGATTAGCTGCCCTAAGATTACACACTTTGAGTAAATTACATCAATTACATCACATTTTTCCTTACCTGCCGTTATAAGAATACAGCATTGAGAGTCCATGATCCTTTCACACAACGACTCGGCGGAGAAACCGGCGAACTGGGTTGTGAACACAAAAATGTGAGTAAATATACTGCTGCAACAACTTATAGTATTTTTCTTATGTATTCAATTTTTGACACAGCGCCAAATCTTTTCTACAAACAATCCAACAGTTGGGGGGAAAAAAAGGCTGATAGAGATCACACCCTGCAAAACATGTATGGGTACTTTGTTTTTACATGTTTTAGAACAAGCTGGTTGGTCAACATAGCTAAGATCCAAGATAAGACAAAGGACTGACCACAATAGAGTGGACCGCTCCAATCCGAGCGCAGGCCAACATAGCCACCACCAGCTCCACCACCATGGGCATGTAAATAGATACACGGTCACCTTTCTTCACACCTGCACAGTCCGAGAGAGAAAGGGACCGACAAGAGGACAATGTCTTAATACACAACATCAATGTCAAATCTTTAACCTGCTGCTGGTCACTATTATACCAACAGTTCAACAGCATTTGTGTTTTACCTTGTGACTTGAGGACATTGGCAAGCTTGCAGACTTGCTGAAGCAGTTCTCTGTAGGTCACCGTCTTCTCATCTCCAGGTTCATTACCCTCCCTGTCCAAAACAACACCCAGAAATATGACTCTCATAAGGCAACAGTAATTATTCACAGTTTCCACAAAAATATTAAGCAGCACAACTGTTTTCCCAAATTGGTAAATATAAGAAATGTTTCTTGAGCAGCAAATCAGCATATCAGAATGATTTATGAAGGATCATGTGACACTGAAGACTGGAGTAATGATGCTGAAAATTCAGCTTTGCATTACAGGAATTAGGGCTGTGCGATATTGAAGAAAAATGTGATATGCGATAACTCATTAAATAATGCGATATTCGATATGCGATACGATAATGCTTAAAGTGCCACATGCTCAGATGAAACAGTTTTACTCAGCTGTTGCTGAGTCAGTTCTGTGAACTTCTATAACTATCTTGTGTCATATATATATGGTTATTTGTATGCATGTATGTTCCTGTAAAACCACAACAAATTCCTTGTGCTTGCGCACACTTAAGTGATTAATAAAGCTCATTC